GTTCTGTTGCCAAGTTCTTTATCTATTGAGCCTATGCACTCACTGGCTAAACTTTGCGTTCCTCAAATGGCGTTGGTGGGCTGTTGGTATCCCATCTCCTATACCATGCATCTCCCTGAAACTAACGTGGATAGGCTAGCTCAGTTGTCTCTGTAGTGGTCTCGCCTGATGATCAACAGGTACAACGTGCCAGACGAGGCACAGAATGAATGAATCCTCAGAAGAATATATTGAAACCAGAGAAAACGACGGCTAACGAGACAATGAGGCCGAGGCTGGACGCTGTGGCTACCCACTATGGTGAAATACCCTTAGGTTATCAAGCCGTTCTCACTCACAGTAGGTATCTTAAAGTACTCAAAAGCCGATTGAGCCTGCCCTATTGATTTGCTGGGAAGAAAACATAGACTGGCCTTTGCCCCTTTTATAGGCCAGCGTCTATCGGACTTGTAGCAATGCACATAGACTCGGGCAGATCAGGGCTTGTACCTTCTATGAGGAAACATCGACGATGCGAGCTTACCCAAAGACCAATGTTGAGTATTGTAGAAATGGCTGCAATGTGATGATTTCACTGGGGAAGGCAGTATTTGCTGAAAGGAGAGCATACTCAGCTCAAAGCCCTTTGGATTGAGTGTTGGGTCAAGAGACGAGCCCCTCGCTGAGACAATGAATACATGAGTGAATGACGCTGAACCAACAGATGGCAAGACAGATGATGTACGGTAATGATCAAATGCAACGGATGGTGGAGTTGTGTGACGGAGTCTTCTTCGTACTTGGCTTTAACGATATCGACGGAATCGATGTGTCGTTCAGATACAGGTAACAGGTTGTTAGTCAACAGCATTTGAAGACTACTACCGTAGTTTCCAATGCGGCATTGAATATTACAGCGCCTCGGACCAAGAGTGAGAATCAAAGCGAAAAGCAAAGCTCCCTGTTGATCTTTTGAAAGCAGGAAGTCCGCTGAAAGGCTTTCCTAGCCATGCGGTCCCTGTTGCTACAGGTGCGACGAGTCTTGATTTCGGCAAATGATGTCGCAATTTGTGAATTCAATAGCGAATACTTCTCGAGAGATGAGTGAAGAAAGAACCCACGTGTATGTTGAAAGTGGTGGTCATATATGTGGGAGAGTTTTGGGCGACAAGAAAGCTCTTTGGGGTCACTCGTGATGATGAGAAGTAAATTGTTGTTGTAACCATCTTCGAGGAGACAAGCGAAGTTCATAAATGTAATGCAAATTATGCTCGTGCATATCCTTAGTCATCACATCCAGGAACAGCCAAACTGGCCAATGAAATGAATGCTGGGGCCATTAACTGGCGGAAAACGGGAAAGCCGGTGGAATGGGCCGTGCATCAAGCGCTTGCTGTGCGAGCTTGTTTCGTCAGATGTCGACAGCTTGGAGCTCTTTGGATTTTGGGAAGCAAACAGCCTTGACTCGGGTTCTCTCATCAGCCCTGTGCTGTTCAGGGTCCGAAACTTTGATAGGCGAACTTGTGGTACGTACTCAATGATCAGAGCTGAGAGTTTTCAGACTTTTTTTGTTTGTTTGTGAGGTTGATTGCTCTGTCGCAAAATATCGTCTACTCACAGATCCTGCTTGGACAGGTCTTTGGTGGTTTGAAGTGCCCCGTCTTGTGCAACGAAACAGCGGATAAGACCCATCGCGGCTTGTGATTCACCTTGGACGCACTACGTCAGCGGGGCCAGCTCACACCTCACACAGAGCTCACGCGCCCTCGCAGCCCTGCAAGTGCAACAGCGACGACCCCGCGGAGCCAAGCTGAGCTGCACCGCTGGCTGGACACTGGATGTGCTGCCCTCCTGCCTGCCCCACCACCGCCTGCCTCGTCCGTCCCTCACCACCACCACCACCACCACCACTGCTCCCGTCGCTCACCTTTCATGCACATCGCTTCCCCCGAAATGCCCGCTCCGGAACCCCGATCCTTCAACGTTTACCTCTAGTCCGCCCTTTTCTGACCTCCTATCTCCTGTATCTGTATCTGCCGGCGACGATCTTGCCCGCGCCGCTCCGTATCCTTCTACCCCTCCGACAACCGCTCGCGTTGGAGCTGCCCGTTTCCTAGCGGCAGCCTCCAAACCCCTCACCACCTCAGGTCCGGCGCCGACTCATTTGGGCCGCGCCACCACAAACCAAGATAGTTGCGCGGAAATCTTCGATCCTCTCACACAGACTTACGGACATAGAGCAAGAGACAAATTAGCATCATGTTCTCTCAGGTTCGTAGCCCTGCAGTTCCACTCTCGGCCACCTCGGCGCGCGCTACGGCAGGGAAGAGAGTCCGACGCGGCCGGACGAATCACCGTTGGGCACCACTCCGGAGCTTACCTGATGCCACTTCACAAAAGCTCGCCCAGACTCTCTTCCCGCCATGAGGCCGCTCTCATAACTACAGGCTATGAGTGAGCGCTGACATCCTCTGCAGAAGAAGCCGTACTCGGCTGTCACCGTAAACATAGAGACGCTCACCAGTGAGACGTACGAGGAAGATGACCTGAGCGGCATCCCCGACCTCGTCGAGGTCATCAAGCTGCAGGCTTCCGGTCCCGCCGAAGCTGCCCGCGCCATTCGCAAGAAGCTCAAGTACGGCAACGTTCATCGCCAACTCCGGGCCCTCACCATACTCGACGGCCTCATCCAGAACGCCGGCCCGCGCTTCCAAAGAGCCTTCGTCGATGAGACTCTCTTGGAACGTCTGAGAGTCTGCGGAACATCTGACTTATCCGACCCCGACGTTAAGAGGAAGTGTACGGAGTTGTTCCGCAGCTGGTCTCAGTACAAGAGCACCCCGGGCCTGGAGCGCATTGCCAAGCTTCACCAGGTAAATCTACTCATGCGAAGGAAAGTCTGCCGCTAACACAATCAGGAACTCCCCAAACGCAAGGTCGCTGCTACTCAGGAGAGATCCAAGGCTGTTCGCGAGACGGAGAACCCGTTCGGCGAGGAGGAAGAGGACAAGCCCCCCTCCCCTACTCACCGTGCTGGCGAGTCTTCGCGATCTCATCAAACGCCTTACGGCGGTGCATCGGGCACCGTCTCTTCCTTCAGCCACACCAAGTCCCCATCCAGCTCGGGAGGCGGCTTCTTCGGTGGTTCCAAGGATAAGAAGAAGAAGGACAAGGACAAGAAGGGCAAGCGGAAGCCATTCAACCTCGAGCTTGAGAAGGAGGCGATGAAGAGCGCCATCGCTGAAAGTTCCATCGCAACCACCAACCTCAACAACACCCTTCAGAGCATCAACAGAGAGAGGGAGCGAATCTCCGAGAACCCCCAGGCCGTCGCAGGGTTCGAAGGCTGCAAGCAATTGAGGCGAAAGATCCTGCGCTACGTGAGTATTGCTCTGCCGGTGACCGCGGTATTATGACTAACGGCCCCTAGATTCACCACGTCGAATCTGAGGAATGGCTTGGAAGTCTGCTAAGAGCCAACGACGAGCTCGTCACGGCCCTCATGACTTTTGAGCAACTCGATAGATCCATCGACGCCGACAGTGACTCGGACGACGATCTGGCCGAGCAAGCTCACATCTATCGAAGTACGATAATCCCAGTCACACCAAGCCCGAACCGAATGCTGACATTATATAGTGGTGACCGAAAAGGCCAAGAACTCCATGTCCCCACCTCCTCCGGACGTCTCTGGTCTGAGCATCGGCCACACGCCATCCCCTCGTCCTCCCGCCCCGCCACGCCCGGCCCCGATGTCGAGGCCCTCGCCTCCAGTCCCCGCCGCTCCTCCCAAGCCCCCGAGACCTCCCGTCCAGCCTGTCCAACAGGACTCTGACGAAGAGGACGACGATGACCCATTCGCCGACAAGAACGCGCTCGAGACGCCCGCTCATGAGCGAGGAGAGCCAAGATGGTGATATCTGACCGTCACACCTGCCACCTTCCTTTCTCTCTTTTGCTCGCCATTTCTGTCAGGGTTTGTGACCCCGCTACGTGGGGTCAGTGGTTGACAGAGTATGGTACGGCTGTATCTTGCCAGCCACAAGTCAGGACACACGAAGCAGATATCCAGCAGAGCGCGCGTCTATATTTTAATGATGAACGAGTCGAGCAATCCACATGACATTCCTCTTTTATCCTCGCTGTGCCCCGTAGAAGCCTATCTAACACTGCAGAAGAGAGAAGGTCGCATCCCCGAACTTCCGAAATCGGTCACCGACTCTGCAAATACCGCCCGTGGATCCCGGCCTCGGCCGCAAGACCCCTTTTGGGATCAGCGCCCGGCCTCCCAGGGTCCCCGCCGAACACCTTTCCGGGCTCTCCCACCCGATGACCCCCGCCGGAGATGCTACGATCCCGCCCATAACCCTCGGCGGCATGTGTCAATATAATATATTTCCCAGATCCTCCCACGTGCCGGGGGCAAGCGTCCCTCCAATGGTAGCTTCCCACGCGGGGCACGAGTGCTCTGTGCGCCCATTATCTTACCCGCTTCACCTGCTCGGCCGAGAGCAGCGCATCCTTTTCATCGATAGAAGACATGCCCATAGAGTTGAACCCCGCGGTTCGATGCGACATTAAATCAAGGTCTGTGAGGTTGCACCCAGGGCGCGATTTATTGATAACTTTCGATAACCTTGAGTTGCTCTTGGGGTCCCTTTCCGTGACTCGTGCACCACGTTGAACGCTGCGGGGCCGCTGAGGACGCGCGCGCAAGGGGGTGGCATCGGATATCGGACGTGATATCGAAATAAGATGAGGGTATTCGGTGCTGACCCGTGAGAGTCCCCGTGAGGGCATCGTGGTTACATGGACGCATGTAATACCGGTGGATAAACGTTGTGGTAGACCTGCATGCTCACCTACCGCCAAGATGGCACCAACACATCCGTCTCTTGTGCCTCCATCTCGCCCGTCTATATGATCCCTCTCACCCGCCTCCCCTAGCCTACCTCACGAGTCTAGGTTCGCCAGCCTTCGTCTCTCCTTAGGTCCTCATCCCCCCAAAGCAGCCGCCCAAGATGCTCGCCCTCCTCACCCTTGCCCTGGCCGCCGCGGCTCACGCCGCCAACACCACCACGACCCTCGTCCCCGTCCTCCGCGAGGGTTGCAACAAGGCCGACCCGGCCAACCTGGTGCCCGCCAGCAACATCACCCTCGAGTATGGCGCCAAGAACGAGAAGCTCGTCTCCGTCTCCCTGGCCATGAAGTACCCCTCCGTGGTCCTCGAGGAGGTCGCCGCCGTCGCTGCTGTCGACTGCGCCGCGGAGAGCATCACCGTCACCTTCAACGAGACGGCTGCCTTCGAGCAGACCTCGAGCGACTGGCAGGCCCTGGATGACTTCGTCATGGTCACCAACCACGCCGGAAACTGCGACGTCGAGAACGAGCGCGGTTTCTTCGTCGTGGACACCGTCACCTTCGACGCTGCCACCCTGAAGGTCGTCGCCAACGCTCACAAGAGTGACGTTGCCAACACTGCCCGTAAGCCGTCCCCCCTCTCACCGCTTTACATTGAAGCAGTAACAACTAACACCTCCTCTCAGTCTCCACGCAAATCATCTTCTCCAACGTCCCCGTCACCAACCCCGCCAAGCGTGACATCTCCTGGGACGACGAGGGCGTCCACATCACAAACACCCTCGCCCTCCCCGCCGCCACGACCCTCTTCACCGCGGACCCCTACGTCGCCATCACCGCCGACGAGGCCTCCCTCTCCTCCGCCATGACTTTCTCCGGCGTCCTCAAGTACTCCATCATCCCCCTCAAGGTCGACGAGCTCGCCCTCGACATCGACACCGTCTTCGACGCCCGCCTCGGTCTCACCGTCGCCGCTACCGCCCCCTACGCCGGCAACTTCACCTACGACCCGGAGGACCTCGCCTACAACTTCGTCGACATCCCGGGCATCATCAAGCTCGGCCCCGCCCTCGGCTTCGCCATCGGCGTCGAGCTCGAGGCCGACGCCAAGGCCACCGTCACCACCGACCTCGGCCTCTCCTTCCCCGACGCCAAGCTCCACCTCGACCTCGTCAACTCGTCCGCCACCGCCGCCACCGGCTGGGACCCCGTCTGGACCGCCCAGGCCAACATCTCCGAGAAGGCCGCCGTCGGCGTCAACCCCTACGTCGAGCTCGGCGTCCAGCTCGCCTTCACCATCCTCGGCGGCGCCATCGACCTCAGCACCGGCGTCACCTCCCACTCCAAGCTCGTCAACGACTTCACCCTCTCCGCGAGCCAGGGCGCCGGCACTGAGGGTACTGGCATCGGCACGGACAACACCGCCTGCGCCGAGGGCTTCGCCGTCAAGAGCGACTTCTTCTTTAGCGTCGTCGGCTTCGCCACCCAGTGGTGGTCGCAGGAGCTTTACAGTGTTGAGGTCCCTGTGGCTGATGAGTGCTACACCTGGTTGTAAATGAGAGTGATGTGGAGAGCGTTGAAGAAGCCTGCCACTCATACATTTTGTATATGATTGATGCTTTCTATTCATAATGTCTCAATTGAACGAATGAAGTCAATAATGTTCTATCCTTTGATCAAACACATGCTAGGCTATCGCTTTCGAATGTAATGTTCAACGCGTTGCTATATAAGAATCACATGTGATCGGTTTTCCTCAAGTCTGGCCATCAACTCTGCCAGCTTTGTCGGTCCCGCAGATAGCTCAAGTGGCATCGTAAACGACACATACCCAACGCGCTCATAGTAGCCCTCTTGAGGCCGAACGATGAGACCAAACATTGCAATCTCGGTCTGTTGCTCCGTCACAGACAGGAACAGCAATTTCGTAGGTCCGAATTCCTGTGGCACGAAATGTGCAGCGTCAAAGATCATTTCAACTTCAGCATCCGACGACTCATCTATAAACTTGAAAGAACGCGTGCCGTAAGGATCGTCAAACTCCACGCGCACTTTTGCCGGGTTGGCCTCCAGCAACGGCGCCTCCAGCCGAAGGGATCGCTTTTCTGGCGTGTCAAAGTCCATGGCTGAGCCGGCTGACGGAAACACCTCCCCATGGCCACCGACTCCAGTTAAAGATTTGAACTCATCATCTTGTTCGTGTTCAAAGAAAACAGGGCCTGAATTGGTTGATGAAGCCCAGGACCAAGAGGGAAAATAGGAGAGCTTCTGGGATGTTTCCAAATCGCCCGTCAGCCGCCAAAGAAGCCCCCGGGTGAGATCCGAGCTGAACACACCGGCAAAGTACTCGGCACCGTGGATCTTGGCCAGGCGCGTTCCCAAACTCTCGATTGCGATCAAGCGGTCTGTGAGATAAGTGAAATCGGTGCGCATGTACGCGACCACCGCCCTCAGCCACGAACTCGTCAAGGCGAACTCGGCTTCCCTCTGAAAGATCTGCGGCTCATCGCGGGCAATAGCAGGATAGGCTCTCGGTAGTTCTTCGTTCGGATCTTGCTCCGATGCCTCAGTCAGGCTCTGGCACTGCCAGTAGAGGCAATTTGCTGACCAGTGGAGAGCGCGAAGTGACAAGACACGTTCTTGGAAGCACCAGCCTCTGGTGAGGAGGGGCTGATAAGTGAACTCTTGGTGAAAAGTCGGGTTGGTCACAGGGAGTTAGAGAGTTTCGTTCTGGGCTTCGTCGAAACTTATGGGGCTGTTCTTCCGAGGGTATTTTTGCGCGCGGCGCTCTGTGAAGATGCCCTGGCCGGAATCGGATGCGGCAAGGGCGGAGAAAAGGCAACGTGCGTTGCTGTAGTAGGATGCCATCATCGGAGCCTCCTTCTCCCAGTCTGTGAGATCCTGGTCCTGGCTACTGGGTTGTATGATGCATACAGCGTCTACCCACAAGTATCTGATGCCCATGAGACGAGTGAGATGGATGGCGTCTCGAATGGTCTTTGGAAAGTTCCACTCTTCGAGCCGTTGTTTCCTTGCCTGGAAATTCGTCCTCGTGATCTTCGCCGGCTCATTGCTTTGTCCCCAACAATAGCTTAGAGCCAAGTACTCTGGTTTTGGCTTGATTGACAGCAAATCCTTCGTTTCGACGAGCTGGGCTAATGGGGCGTTTCGGTTTCCGACGTCAATTAAGCGCGTTGGAAGGTGGAAAGTCTCTTGTCCGCGAATTGATACTGGTTTACAGTTGGTGTGCCGGCCACGTTGATGGAGACAATCCTCTATCCAAGGGTCTATCCGGTTACGAATCAGCGCGTCCAAATCAGAATCTTGCGTTTCCGGGCCAAGACCTATTGCTGATATTAGTATTACATATTTGTCAAGTTGAGGGCTCGACAATACGTTTGATGCTGCCCATAGACTCATCTGGAATATCAAGACCATCTGCTGTTTCAATCCCAAACACAAATTCATGTTCCTTTTTGTTCCCGATAGCGTACTTGAGTTCCAGAGGTTCAATCTCCGAGTATACCAGCTCGATTCGAAGTAGACACGGAATGGCCTTTGGCATATCTGCGTCGATATGGCGAAGAGCAAGAACCCTCAGACTGCGACTTAGATCGCAAACAGCAGATGCTGCCTCCTCGAGAGCAGTCCAAGATTCGTGATGCTCAATCTTGAAAGAAGATCTGTTTGCGAACCATTCGCTGTAACGCCATGGTATCTTTCGGCATTTGGCGCATCTTCCCTCAGGGATCAACTCGTGGTACTTTTCGAAATCCATTTCGAAATACAGCCGATTTCTACTCCAAGACCTTCGCTCGTTGTGTTGTCGCTTGTTACACAGTCAAGTCAAGAGAGAGTTGTCGATGGTAAGGCCAGCTTTGAAACGACAGGAGGAGGCGAGTTTTCTTATGGCGGCAGCCGTCCTGCAAATGCTGATTGGTGTTTCTGGTTTCCAGCAGTGCAGCGCGAATCACGAAGGCTTTACTCGCCGAACATCAGCCGTCAGGCTATTGGCGATAGCACCAACAGCGTTCAAGAGGTCCACATGTGCTGAAGCCATATCGTAACCTGTTTGTTGCTGCAGTGTCATCTCAGCCTGACCTGACTTTAATGTACTACATTGCGCAGAGATTCTCATCTCCCAATTCTCAAGCGATGGCAAGGGCAAAATTTACTCGAGAAATTATAGCACCATCCACTCACATTCGATGATATCTAGGAGATAAAGGTTTCCCGAGTGACCTAGCACCATCTATCCGCTTCTTGATCTGAAAGATCTGACATCAAGCAATCCCGTCCAAATACAGCAAGTTTTCCCCTTCAAAATTGTGCCTCTTCATATCGACGAGTGCGCCAATCAACCTTCGAAAGACGTGGACTCATCCTGCGTACCATCGTCGGATCCTGGATCTCTGGTGACAATGCGCAAAGCAAAATGGACGTCATCCCAGGTAGTCTCTGAGATCGATAGAATCTGCGCCGAACGCCCAATCGGCGACTTCTTGTCCTCTACCAGCTTGCATATGCATCGGCAGAGCTTGTCTTTCCAGTCTCGTCCCACAAGCGCTTGAGTCTGGCTATCGACGAGCCCACCGCTTTTCCATTCCTTGAACGCCCCATAGAGAAATGGCTTACGATCGGTGAAAAGATCTTTGAACTCAAAATGCTGGGTCTTGGAAGTACGCTCACGGCTCGAATTTCTGATCCTCGCAAATAGTTCCATAACAACGTCCTGCTTGTCTCGTGCGCATTTGGTACGGGAGTTCAGCAACTCCCCGATCCTGAAGCAAGTTCGCAAGATGATCGTGGTAGATAAACCAACGACGACGGATCGGTCTCTCGTCTTTTTGGGGAAAGGAGGCCTGATGATTGGAGTCATGCCCAATGACGCGCTGGGGTTTGGACTGACAACACTGGTGTGCTTTGCTTCGGCAGGGGTCGTTGTGGCCTTTGTTGCACATGCTGTCACAAGATCCCAGTCGACGTCCTCGTCCAGGAGATCAGGCTCCTCGAATATGTTCTTGAGGTCTGCATGTTGACTTTCCGCTGGCGTAAAATGCTGCAACCGCGAATCGTAGCTTTTGGTCGATCTTGAATCCTTGTCCGTTCTCTGCGTGACACTCGACGGTGGAAGTCTTGAAGAGGTGTCGCCTGGAGCCTCCACCAGCTGAATCATGTCCTCATCGTCAGAATCGTCAAGACCGTAGTCATCCTCGAGGGGAGAAACGTCTTCTGCTGGAGCGGTTACAAGTTCACTGAAAGCTTGCTCTATGTGTTGGCTCGACAGCTCCTGAGACTCGCTATCGTGATGGCCGTCGAGTAACTTGACAGTATCGTCGAGCCCTTGGACGCCGCCATCCAGGTCGACAAACTCGTCCATCCAGGAGTCATCCGAGGGCAGCTCCATGGGCTGGACATTCGGAACCAAGGATGCAGGTGGTGTCTCGGGTATCTCGTATGGCGACAGCGGAGTTTGGGTTTGAAACAAGTCTGACGGATGGTACGTGTGTGCAGTCGCAGCGGGAATACCATCCACTGTAGAGGAGGAGGCAAGCACGGCGGCGGCATGATATTTGTCTCCATTGAGCTCCGGCACTGTCGCGGCAGAGTTCACGGCGACACGTTTGGCCGGAATCGCGTTTGTGGCAGCGGATATGGGTGTCAACGGTCGTTTGGGGCCGTTGATAGGGGTGAAGCCTTGCTTGGTGACATTCAAGTTGAGGTGGCCACCACTTTTTCGGCTAGAATAATGTGAGAATCAACCCACCAGACATAGGAAGAGTACTGACCCGCCCCTTCGACTAACCATCGTGAGAATCGAGTCTTGCGAAGTGCATCAATGTTGACGCCAACGCGATCGTCTGGGAGCTGATGGACGAGAAAAAGTGCTTGCAAAGAATTTTTCAGATGGGCGAGATAAAAAGCTTCCTACCTGGCACGGAGTATGTGGGAAGGGAAGGAACTTGTTTGGGGCTCCTTCCATCAGGCAATAGCATTTCGGAGGAGTACCTTCCATGGAAGGTCCGTACCAACGCTCTTTCCCTTTGAGGAATCACCACCAACACTCCTTCTTCCACAACCTTCTCAACTGCTGCAGACTTCTCCCACCTATTTACAATATCATCCTTTTTTTCCTTCTTAAAATTCCATGCCAGATGACGGCAGCCACCTGAGCAAGACACGTTGGTTGGGAATGAAGGTGTGCCTCTGGGCATTGATGACAACTTCCTCAGGATCCGGCAAACACTATCTCGAATACACAATGACGTGGTGAGCTATGCTGGCCAAGAGGCTCCCTTCGTTGGGAAAGACAAAATCGTCACCTCACTTCCGTAAAAGATCACATGCGGCCGGGTCTTGGACCCCTATCAGCGGCAGCTACGCCTGAGACTCGGTTCGTCCCACTGGAGACCAGGTAGAACACTGAAATCATAGTTTGGAACACCTGAACTCACTTGCTGCTCGAAAGCTTTAGGGGACGTGGCTCGTGATGCCTTCGTCGACGCTTTGGAGAGACAAAAGTTGGCTGCTCGTTGAGGTGTGTTGCCTGCACGCCAGCCTACTTACACTCGCACCGGGGTGGATCAGGGAGGGATACGACGAAGAGGACAAAAAGAACATTCGAGCTGAAATATGAAAACACCATCGGGCTGTATTCTCCGGCATCCCGGTAGACACATGGGTTGCTTCTCGAAAACGGGCGCCGAGGCCAAGTCACGAAGCTATTCGCAACCCGTGGCGCGGACCGCACAGCGGAGGCACGGGAAGGAAGCGACATCAAGGCGCAGCAACCCGTGGCCAAACGGCGCAGCACGTCCGAACCTCCGCCCCTCCCTTCCGTATCTCGATTCCGTTATCGAGACACGATGGCGCCGCATCGGTGTCGATGAAGGCATTCAGAGCCAGCTACGTCAGAGAGCACATGCCCCCCGTAAAGAGGACCCCTTCACCCATTTGCCCAAATAAGCGGCCATGATGGGAGACAGAGGACTGGGAAAGACGTGTTGACACCTGGTGCATCGGCCGCGCAGTTGTTGATGGGCACTGCCGACGGCCAAAGAAGAAGGCTCCAGGCGGCTGCAGTGATGTCAGTTTCCAGTCAGATGAGCGTTGAATACCTTAGGCAGGGGGAGGGGCGCTTTTTGGTTGGCGTGTTTTGGCTAGCTCCGGAGATGTTGGGCCATGTGGTTCCGGCGGTTCGACAGCCTTCTTAATGCCCCCCAGCTGAGGTTGCTGTGCAGGGAGGATGCAAAGTGTAAAAGCCGCACAGGTGGAGGATTGCGTTAGTACCTGCTGAAAATAACAATTTGATTTTAATCCGGCGTTTTTAAATAATATTCTGTTTATGCAGTTTACAAATATAAATATAAATATTCTGAATAAACTGAAACCTATAGAATAAGCCAAGAACACCCCGAATGCACGCCATCTCTCCCCTCTTTCCCCGGATGGGCTGTGTTGAATTAGTCACCTCGATCGCGGGGATGAGAATGAGATGACACACGCCGGAGCTGGCGGGTAGATGACTAACCGAGACTTTCTGTTTCCAGCTCTGCCTTGCCCAAAGTTACCGCCTATAGCCGCGGTCTACAGCGGACGTCCATGCTAGACGCCCATTGAGGGCGCCCGAAGGCCGCGCATTCCCACGGTCCGGACGACGATGCGCACTTCCCTTACTTCCATCCAGCCGTCCTCGCTCTCCGTCGCCCAATTGATGGCAGCTGAGCCACCAGGAACAACTTGCCTCGCTGATTTACGAAAGGTTACTGGACTCCCTCGGATAGGTATCACTATCAGCCACTCCCATGCGCTCCAGCAGGGGCTGGTGCTTGCTTGTATCAATCCCTGAGGCGGTGCTTCCGGCTCCCTCCCCAATGAAAATCAAAGTTGCAAAGCGACGAGGGCTGCGATTGAACGGACAATAACACGACACAAGCACAGCCCAGTCATCACCATCATCACTCTCGTCGTCCATCATCAGCTGCAGTCACCCATCCATTCACAAATACCGAGGCGAACTGATCTACAACAACGGTATTTTGAGTTTGGGAAAATACTGAGTCACACCTGGTCTGTCAACGTCCGACAGGGCCTCGAGTTGCAGTTGCAGCTTCGTCTAGAGCCAAAAGAAACGTACAGGACCAGTCACGTCAAGCTTTCGGGAAGCACATGGACTGTCGTGCATGGCAAGCGTGTGGGCATTGCGCCGCCTGTCAGGTTTTGCGCCCACCTCTTTTGCTCCCTTTCGCATTTTTCATTTTTTAACGAATTCCAATGAAAATGAGAGATGCCGAAAGCGCGATTGTAATTGGGGAATAATTCCTTCCGTTTATTCTTACTTTCTTCGGCAGTGTATGGCCAACGTCGCGCGTTCCCGTCAGACTAGATCAGGTGCTGTGCGAACCGCCGCCAGAGTGCGAGAGTTTGGGAGAGGCGCCAAAACAGTGATTGAAACCGAACTAAACGGTCTGAATTGAGAAAGGACGTTAGGCCTGACAACCATGTTTGTTTGTAGTAGTTGTTGTGTCCTCGGCCGAGAGAGACAGATGCCTATCGCGCCTGGGAGGAAAGACGTTCTCGCCTCTCTCCCCTCCCCCACGCGCGCAATACACCAAACGTTTGGTTTGCGCCGCCACTTGGGACGGAGAAGGGCAATCAAGGGCCGAGGATGGGGGATGCCAGAGATGGGCTGCTGCAAGCGCCAGGTGCACGGCGCATCGTGTCCCAACATCTTGGGATTGTGAGATGTCTGCATCGGACCTGATTGACCCAAATCGGAGTGGCATGGGCATGGGCATGGGCATGAGCATGATGGTGGTGGTGTTGACGAAGGAGGTGGGCAGGAACAGCCCAAGGAAATAAAAATAAAGAATCTGATATCTGTAAAATAAGAATTGAATAAAATAATAATAATAATAATATTCAGAGCTGAGGAGGTATCTATCTGACAAGCATGTCACCATCACCACCACCCACACCCATCAACACCATCACCTCCGACCTGGGACGGCCCCACCGTTTTCCCCAGACGTCGGTTACGGGACTGGACAGGCTGGGGGGCTTCAGTGTTCCTCCACACCTTGCCTTGGGTGGCGGTCCAGCGGTAGCGCCAACGGTCCGCCACCGTCCGGTACCTAACGTAGTCCCCGCGGGCGCCTCCTCCCACTTGAGGGGCCCCCCAACTCAACTCCCGTCCCTCACCGCTCGGGAAGGCTGACTTGGACTTGCATAAACACCATGGTCACCAGGTCCCTTCGCTGATGAGTTGGCAACTCTCCCTACACCCAGTGTTGCAATCCAAGCCCTCACGAGCGACCGTCCTCGAGGCCGCCCGGCATCATCGTCATCGAACGGAAGGAAAACTGAAAATAAACCTTCCCAGTGGCATCCATCCGAAGAGGAAGCCTTGGATCTCGACGAACATCGGCTGATGAAGGGAAGCGAACGCCAGCCAACCTATGTCGTATCGCCTCTTTTCATCACATCGAGATGCCCAAACCAAGAAGCGACCACCACATCTGCCACGACAACTGTCTAGCCCATCCCAGTGATGCATCACCTCTCACTCGCAAACAGACAAGACATTGATGGTGGGCTGCCGTCGATGGTCGGGCAGGGCACTACACACCTCCAGCTTCCCGCTGCATCTCCCGGCGAATCCTCTCCGTCGCCTTCCCGCTGCGCCGGTCTGCTGCCAGTCGAGCTTCCAAAGCCTATGGTGAGCACCCTGCACACAGACGACTGACCGAGTCTCTGCTTCAAGAAGTTCCAGGCACGCTACGCATACACTTAGACGCGCATTCTCTGTCTGCAGTTGATTGACAGCCTGTCACCGTCACGGGCCGTCCATTCTCATCCACTCACCCGTCTTCAATCCCTATCTTCGGCCCTGGCGCGCCCTGCCCTCATTCACACTTACATGCAGCGGGCTTGCTTCCGTCGCACTCCCCCCGGCCACTGGTATTCCCCCATCGCCTCGATACGAAATGCGCGTCCACGCCAGATCGCAGTTTGTTTCACACCATCTACGCAAAAAGCCCATATCCTTCTCCTCACCGGCCAACCCGGTCCTTTTGAGTACAAGTATTGTTGCTGTTTTCCCTCTCAAAGACGCCCGCTCGCGCACCCTCATGTACTACCTACCCCCCACCGTCGCGAACACACGTCGTCCGTCCAGGCCCTGTGGCGTCCTGTCGTGCTCCATGCACTTAGTCAAAACGTGCAACATTTCTCCATGTCTTGGTCGACCCGTTCCAGGTGAATGCACAACCTGCCGCTGGCGTTGACCGGTGATACGGTGGTGAGAAATGCTCCAGATGATCCCTCTCTCTCCCCCGCCGCCACGAAACTCCCGGGAGCGCCCAACGGCCAGTCCCCCCATCTTGTCGCCGGTCACTCGGCGCCTGCTATGCGCAACGAGAGATACGGGGTCCCAGGTGAGGCGAGAGCACCAGACAGAGGGGGGCCGTCGGTGCTGCGGCCGGAGTGTCGGTGTGCCCTTCCTCTGAGGAAAGATCGGCAGCTTCAAGCTTGTCACGTTCGCATATGCTGCATGTACGCTGTACAATAAACTCGTGGTGCAGAAAGTAACTAACTTTCCTTCGCCAACAATTATGCACATTTTTTTGGTGTTGTTGGGCATCGACTGAGCAACCAACCCTTCATTCGGTGACTTCACTTTCCCCGGATTTCCATCACACCTCCACTGGAACATTGCTGCGCTGGGCATCACGTTGTTGAGAGACACGCCAGCTCATACATCTCCCAGTCATGCGGATTGATGGCTCACTCAAGTTGTTGGACTTCCAC